CTGATCAGGAAATCTTTGATCCACCCAGTGGGTCTAGCAAGCAAACCGTGAACGTGCATTACTCCCAGATTATTTACACCTGACTTGAGTGAACCACCCTAATTGAGCGCGGCTTGGTGTTCGTTCGTGCTACTGATTACAGCTGTTTACAAGTTGAAGGGTAGTTCAACGTCAGCTTACAGCTGAATTTAGAAATCTGACTTTTGTGTAATAGGCCTCAGGTCTGATAGTCATAGTTGGGTCTCACTTAAAGTGGAACTTACCCCCTCTGGGAAAGAATAATTCTGCCCCCAACGCAAATTTGAAAAATTGGGTTGAACTAGGAGGTGTGGCCAGGAGGAAAGTTTTTTTTAAGATGAGACAACGTGACACAGCTAGCGTTAGCTTATTTTGACAAGCTAACATTCCTGAAAACATTTCTGAATGTTCTAAATAAATGACTTTGTAAAAAGTAAAGTTTCATGATATACTGTACATGCAAACTCACATTTAGCTGATACAACATGTAATAATGTAAAGTTCAGGCAAAAAAAAAAAACTGTTAAAATATGACTTTGGTCCAAAACAAAACAGAATATCTTTTCATTTCTGTTAGGTTCACTGTTTCAATTAAAATTCACAATACAGCTCAGTCTGGGCCTGACGAGTGTTCTGTCCCCCGGATCATTCTGGACACTGCAGCCGATTACACACCACTCCACCCCGGACAGAAGGGTCAACCCACCCCGGCAGCAGAGGTGTTCAGACGGCCTGATGTGAAAATCCCTCCGCTGCTGGTTCACCTGCAGCGCGAGGCATCATGAAACAAACTGAATTAACTTCTCTTTGCGGTTCAATGTATATTTTAAACAAATAAAAGGTTGCTGTTTCACGTAGAGTTTAGATCAGGACTAAAAAAATACAAAAAAATAAAAAACCGCTACAGTGATCCGACAGCTTTAAAACGTTCCTAAGTTTATAAAGACCTCAGCATTTTTAGTCTTCATGGGGACAAAACCTGTGGATGTTCTGGGATGTTCTGACATGGAGCAAGTTGCAACCTGGAGCAGCGGTGAGTGTCAGCGAGGGTCCGGTTCTGTGACAGCAGGACCGCCGGAGCAGTCAGCTGTCCGGTTCTGTAACTTCTGTTCGGACCGGTCCGTACCACGACTTGCTTGAAAAATTTTCAGGAGCAGTTTGAAGAGCTGATCATGGACATGGACGTCTTGTTTTTTTCATCACTGCCTCGAGGTAAGTTTCTGTCATCCCGCTGCCTGTTACAGGTGTCCGGACATCCTGATGTGTAAAACCCCTCAGCAGCGGAGGCACATGTTCTGGTTTATGTGCACTTACTGTAAGGGGACATACGGCGGAGCGAGCCGCTGAGCTTCAACTCCCCACTTTTATTCTTTCCTGAACACAGTAAGGCTGTGGCAATGATCTATAATAATCATAATAGCCGTGTGTGTGTGTGTGTGTGTGTGTGTGTGTGTGTG